GACACAGGGAAAGGGGGGAGGGAGAGAGATCGGTAGAGATACAGGGAAAGGGGGGAGGGAGAGAGATGGGGAGAGACACAGGGAAAGGGGGGAGGGAGAGAGATGGGGAGAGTGAGGGGGAGAAAGAAACATACAGAATGACTGGGGGATACAAAAAGGCACACAGAGGGGCTGGAGATAAAGAGACACACATAGGGGCAGTATATATCACTGGTGGATATTGGGGGGGCAACGGGCCCCCCCCAAGGCTTTCCCCTGCCGGACGATCTCCCTCCCTGTTCCACAGGCACCGTGCAGCCAGTCGGCAGGGGAGGACGAGAGGACCTGGGGCAACGCTTCGGCTCTCACGAGGGTGAACTCTAGCCCTGGAGCTACGGGCTAGAGTTCACTCTCACCACTTCCTGGTGGTCCCAGTAGTAGGAGTGAACTCTAGCCCCATACACACACTGCCCCACACACACACACCATATACATTCACACACTGCCCCCACACACACCATACACATTTACACACTGCCCACCCACACACTGAACCTTTCACACACATTGCACCACTGCTCCTATACCCTACTACAGCCCCATATCCCAGCAGACTCCAGGTAAGTTGTCAAACTGTTCTTAAACGCTCCTGGCACCATAACCACTACACAGAGGAGTAGTGGTTATTGTGCATGGAATATTTCTTTAAATAATCTACAAGTGCCCCTCTCAGGCTCAGGCTCTGGATCCGGCACTAGTATATGACAATGTGACTAATATGACTAATGTGTGTATTAGTTATATATATATATATATATATATACCTATTATATTTACACATATTAATGTACATTTATAAATGCATAATACACAGAGAAATTTCATTAATATGTACCATATGTAATGAGCAGATATTGGTCCAGTCTTGTTGCTAGGTGCATACTCCAGCACAATAACATATTTAAAGTGAAGAGCACACCCACAGGACTTCAAAATAAAAAATTTTTACAGTTGTGCCCTACATACATTCACCATTTCAGTCCCATTAACAAGCTTTCCTTAATATGTCAAGGTAGTTGGACTGAAACATTGATTACATGCAAAGGCACGTCTGCTTAAAATAAATCTGCACTTTTGTTTATTTTGAAGCCTATGAGTGCGCTTTTTACGTTGAAGTACTTTTTAATTTTAAGTTATCTGTTCTAACTCTGTATCTGCACACTATGCTGGCGCGACGCATTATGGGGCTGGTAAATATTTTTTTTCCAGGGCTGCTTTTAATTCCCAGTCCGGCCCTGTTCCCAAGAGTCAACCTTTATTAGGAGAAACTGCTCACTTTTAGAAAGAAATTAACAATCCTCACAATTTTTAAATAAAAATTAGTTTGACGACGCCTGTAACCCTAGCCATGGACTCCAACCAAAACATTAAAAAGTACAAAACAGAACAAAGACCTTCTAACATCAAAGAACAAAAATGAGATTGATGTTTTATCACCTATCATTTTTGATTTTGAGAACAAAAATGTATATAACAAAACATTGTAAGGAAACATTGGTACATTCTGCTTGTGGATGTGGTGTTAAATATACCTTCCCTAACGAGCCCAGCATCATCCTGGGCCCCTTACAATATTGACATAGCTACACCCAGGACTCCCAGCACACAACCCTGCAGGACTTGCCATAAGCAGAGGTAGCATTTCTGGATGATCATCTCGATGAATACCTGGACTTCTTTTTTTTCCTATTTTTGTTTTAAATTGTATTTCTTTCTTTCTCCACCCCCCACAGTATTACTGCTTAATTTATGACTACTGCACCCTCTATCCTTAACTCTTGTTTAGTTAAATGTTTGTTTTGCTAGTGTTAGTTATTGCAGTCCAAGCCTCATTCATTTATGATGTACCCTATTTATGACTTTTACCTATCTTATCTCTGCCATTCCCTCATATCCTTAAATTTAAAATCCCTTTCATCTGCTTTTTCCTTGATTTAGTTTTTAACACCCCAAATGATTCTCCACCCACAATCTGCCTTATCTAAACCCAGATTCTCTTCTTTATAGCCTGGGCCCCTTACAATATTGAAACAGCTACACCCAGGACTTGCCATAAGCAGAGGTAGCATTTCTGGATGATCACTTCCCACCCACCAACCCTACCCCACACCCCACCCTCACCATGGTAATCACTACATTTATAGATGCTCAAATTAACTAGTTTTCATGTCAAAGCAATCATGCCCACCAAGCCCTTCACACCTAAAATAGCTAATCTCACACAATACCTCTTTAACCCCTAACCCTCCTAACCACAGCACATATTCTCAGACTAATGTTCTCACTTCTATTTATCACTTTCTTTCTTACTTCCCTCGTTATTAAAATCTCTCTGTCATTTTACTTACCTGTTCCTGCTGACACCATCTTCATTGCTCCCTCTCTGCTCCCCTCATCTCTGTATTCATCACACGCACTTTATTCATATTTATCCAGCCTTTCTCCACACACCCCTCCTAAATCCCCTAAATACAAGCTCTCGTCCCCAACATTTAAATCATACTCCCACCTTCTCTTCCTTTCAATCCTACTACTCCTAGTAGCTGGTGATGTCTCTCCAAACCCTGGTCCCTCTACTACTCAGCCAACTGGTACAAACACCAGAAACCACAACAACCTAATAACCATTCCATGTAATTCTCACTATAATTCCTCCTTTAAAGCTGCCCTCTGGAATGCACGCTCTTTGTGCAGCACCTTTAAATCTACTTCCATCCATGACCTAATTATCTCACACTCCCTAAACTTACTTGCACTAATGGAAACATGTCTCTTTCCCTCTGATACTGTTACCCCTGCCTCACTGTCCTTTGGTGGTCTTCACTTTACCCACAATCCAAGACAAGCAGAGAGTAAAAGTGGCAGTGTAGGTTTTCTCCTCTCACCCCACTGCTCCTTTAAAACCCTACCCACCCTCTCCTTCCCTTTCTTTCCCATCATTTGAAATTCATTCATTTTGCCTTTTCAAACCTTTCTCTGCTAACATTGCGGTTCCCCTCTCCTCTTCCTTGACCACTTTGCTGCCTGACTACCCTACTTCCTCTCTTCTAACATTCCATCCCTAATTCTTAGAGACTTCAATATTCCCATTAACCTACCTTTGACCCCAGCAGCCTCTAAACTACTTTCAATTACTTCCTCCCTTGGACTATTGCAGTGGGTTAATTCTCCCACCCATGTAGCTGGCAATACGCTCGACCTTATTTTCTCTTATTCATGTACAGTATCTAATATCTGCAACACTCCTTTTCCTCTCTCTGTTCACCACCTCTTGCTCTCAATTACCCCCTCACCCAACAATCTCAGCCTAACCCCCCTCAGCTCAGGAGGAACCTTAACTCTATTGACCTCCAGCAGCTGTCAGCTGACATTGATTCACAACTGCTATCCATCCCTTCCCTCTTCTGTCCCTCACTGGCCATCTCCACATATAACACTACCCTCACCTCAGCCTTGAACACTGCAGCCCCACTCCAAACATGCACCTTCGAGGAGGACACAACCCCAACCTTGGCATACTAAATCAACACGCTATCTGTAGAGTTGCTCCCGTTGTGCTGAATGCTCCTGGAGGAACTTTCTCCATTATAGATTCATATTGCGTTCATACAGCACAGCCCTTGCCCTCACCAAACAGTCATACTTTTCCTCTCTCATTAGTTCATGCTCCCGCAATCCCAAACGTCTCTTTGTCACCTTTAATTCTCTTCTCTGCCCTGCTGTGGCCACCCCCAAAACTAACCTTACAGCTGATAGCTTTGCATGCTACTTTACCGACAAGATTAACAACTAAAGAAACAATTCTCCCCTCCTTGCCGTTCTCTTTCTCAACCACATATAAATCATGCCTTTCCTACCCTTCAGACTTTATCCCCGGCTACTGAACAAGAGGTGGCTGCGCTTCTCAATTCCTCTCGCCCCACCACTTGCCGGCTCGATCCTGTCCCATCTCACCTCATCAGATCTCTCTCTCCTTGTCTTGTGCCTACCCTAACACACATATTCAACTGCTCTCTCTCTTCTGGCACTATTCCTGCTGACCTTAAACATGCCACTGTAGTACCTATCCTGAAAAAGCCATCTTTTGACCCATCCTCCCCCTCTAACTATCATCCTATATCCCTGCTCCCTTTCCCATCAAAGCTTTTACAAAGACTTGTCTTTACCCGTGTGTCTTGCTTCCTCAATTCCAACTCTCTCCTAGATCCTCTTCAGTCTGACTTCCGCCCTCTCCACTCTACTGAGACTGCTCTTATCAGTTACTAATGACCTAATCACAGCTAAATCCAAAGGTCACTAGTACTACTCCATATTAATTCTCCTTGACCTCTCTGCTGCCTTTGACACTGTTGATCATGCTCTCCTCCTTCAAACTCTTCAATCGCTCGGTCTCTGTGACTCTGTTCTCTTATGGTTTTCCTCTTATCTCTCCCAACGCTCATTCAGTGTCTCCTTTTCCAAGGATACCTCCTCCCCTCGTCCTGTCTCAGTTGAAGTTCCCCAAGGCCCTGTCCTTGGTCCCCTTCTATTTTCTCTTTATACTGCCTCCCTTGGCAAACCTATTGCCTCTTTTGCATTCCACTACCACCTGTACGCTGATGACACTCAGATATACCTCTCCTCCCTGGACCTCTACCCTGCCGTCCTGCAAAGCGTCACTGCTTGCCTTTCTTTCATCTCTGACTGGATGTCCTCACGCTTTCTGAAACTCAATCTCTCTAAAACTGAGCTCCTTGTCTTTTCTTTTCCTACTGATCCTCCTCTCTCACTCTCCCTTCAAGTCAGTGATATCCACATAAGTCCATCCTTGCAACCGCACTGTCTTGGCGTCATACTTGGCTCTGGCCTCACCTTTGAGCCTCACATCCAGTTTGTTGCCAAATCCTGTAGGTTCCAACTTAAAAACATAACCCGCATCTGCCCCTTTTCTTACACAAGATGCTACCAACGAGCTTGTCCATGCTCTAGTAATTTCCCGCATAGATTACTGTAACCCTCTCCTGATTGGGCTCCCCAAAATTTGTATTGCCCTGCTACAGTCTGTAATGAATGCCACCGCCAGACTGATTTTCCTCTCTAGTCGGTCCTCTCACACCTCTCCCCTCTGCCAGTCCTTACATTGGGAGTCAATTCAAAGTGCTAACCCATACATTTAAAGCACTGAAGAATTCTAGCCCCTCTTATATCTCTTCACAGATCCATAGGTATGCCCCTCCTCGTTTCCTCCGCTCTGCCCATGACCACCTCCTGACTGCTGCTCGCACCCGTACGGCCAACTCGGGCGTGCAGGACTTCTCGCGAGCGGCTCCTTTACTATGGGATAGCCTGCCTACTCTGCCAGACTCTCCCCTAGTCTTCAATTGTTTAAGAAGGGACTCAAAACCCATCTCTGTAGGAAAGCTTATGGCCTCCCAGAGTAACCTCTACCTTACATACCTGTCTCTTGCACTCTCCTATAGGGCAGTGCTTTACTCTCTCCTCCAGCTCTGCTCCACTCCCACCCTATTTGATTGATATTTCCTGTCCTAATATTTTTTATACCCCACCTCCTATATAGACTGTAAGCTCGTTTGAGCAGGGTCCTCTTCAACCTATTGTTCCTGTAAGATTTCTTGTAATTGTCCTATTTATAGTTACATCCCCCCTCTCATAATATTGTAAAGCGCTATGGAATCTGTTAGCGCTATATAAATGGCAATAATAATAATAATAATAATAATAATAATAATATTTAGAGGAGCCCCAAACCTCAAAACTTCTATAAAAAAAAAAAAAGCAGCAACACTTGCGATAATACTTTTTTTTGTTGTTGTTTTTTTTTTTTTTTACAATCAAGTCATCAATCAAATCAAGTTCTTATTCCTTATTTATTTTATTTTCCAGTAAATAATTGATTTTTGCTCCTAACTTATCTTTTCCTTTTATGCCCAGACCAAATATGGCCGTTATTTTACTTTATACTAAATGGGCATGCCCATCATCTAGGGGCTTGTATATTCTATGTAAGCGCCTGGAACGCAACGCACGCTTTTTTGAGGGGTACGTGCGTTCCACGAGCGGCGCAAGACTAATACAGCATCAAATACATGACGCTGCGTCATTTCCGGTATGTCGCGTATACCGCGTCACTTTCGGTATGATGCGTGCGTTCCATGGTAACCAAGAAACCTGGAAGAAGCACACCAGGAAGTATTTTCGAAAATTTATGACCATATAAAAACGGAACCTAGAGGAAGCTCTTACCACACTTCTGAAGAAGCCTATCGGGCGAAACGCGTTAAGTGGACTTTCTTTTACATATTTTATGCTTATAACATGTTTTGTTTTATATTAAAGTATACTTTTAATTAGTTACTTTTATATCCAGGGGTCAAGTCCTGGGGAAAAAAGTGTGGGAACTCACCCAAGATTCCCGCCGCCTTTAAAAAAATTACACTCCTATGCATATAGTGCAGTGCAGGGTGTGTATAATGAATGTAGTGTGTTTGTAGTGAATGCAGAGTGTGTATAATGAATGCAGTGTGTTTTTAGTGAGTGCAGAGTGTGTACACTGAATGCAGTGTATGTAGTGTGTTTGTAGTGAATGCAGAGTGTGTATAGTGAATGTAGTGTGTAGTGAGTGCAGAATGTGCATAATAAATGCAGAGTGTGTATAGTGAATGTGTATAGTGTGTTTGTAGTGAGTGAAGAGTGTGTATAATGAATGCAGTGTGTGCGTGTGCTGGATGATGTGTGTGCTGCTGGATGACGTGTGTGTGACTGGATGACGTGTGTGTGAGTGCTGGATGATGATGTGTGTGTGAGTGCTGGATGATGTGTGTGTGTGTGTGTGTGAGTGCTGGATGATGTGTGTGTGTGTGCTGGATGATGTGTGTGTGTGTGTGTGCTAGATGATGTGTGTGTGTGTGCTGGATGATGTGTGTGTGTGTGTGTGCTGGATGATGTGTGTGTGCGTGTGCTGGATGATGTGTGTGAGTGCTCTGGATGATGTGTGTGTGAGTGTTGGATGATGTGTGTGAGTGTGCTGGATGATGTGTGTGAGTGTGCTGGATGATGTGTGTGTGAGTGCTGGATGATGTGTGTGTGTTGGATGATGTGTGTTCTGGATGATGTGTGTGTGTGTTCTGGATGATGTGTGTTCTGGATGATGTGTGTGTGAGTGCTGGATGATGTGTGTGCCGGATGATGTGTGTGCCGGATGATGTGTGTGCCGGATGATGTGTGTGTGAGTGCCGGATGATGTGTGTGTGTGTGTGTGTGCCGGATGATGGGTGTGTGTGTG